TACTACCACTCTTTGTCTACTTTAGGACTTGTTTTAATGAAATACTATTTGAAAGTAATTAGATTTGTTGACTTCTGAAGCTGATTTAAAGCATATTAACTAATTTTTGTTTAAAAAAAAAGTAATACCATTATATTTAGAATACTGATGCTCAATTTTCCACAGCTCAAGCTGGTGGTTAACATTTTCTGAAGCCTTTTGAAATTACAGAGATTTTATACTATATTGTGCATGCTACAATAATGAAATACCATATCACCTTCATGAGAAATCCAGTATTTCCACCGTAAACTGCTTGTTCAACAGAATACAACTCTATCAAAATACTTTACACTTTAATAGGCATAACAAATATTTACTTAATCTGTTTTGTATTAATAACAAATAATACAGATAACTTGTACAAAGATTTTGTATAGTATAATTGATGCTCAGGTGACAATTTTTCCCTCTCAAGTCATTTTCTTAACCAATAATAATAACAATACGTTCATTTATAGAGCACTTTCACACAGCTGGTTTCACATGCAGCGCTTTACATGGTATGAAGGTGGAATAATTACGGTAGTTTAATAAATTTCTGAAAAATAACACCCCCCTTGAGGTAAAATTTACGTGTTTTTACAGATGTTTGTTCCCAGAGGGGGGGGGGGGGGGAATGGGCCCCCTCCCTGGATCCCCCACTGACCCTGACCCTAATGCTTACCTTGGCCCTGAACTTAAACCTAACTCAATCCTAAAGCTCACTCACAAACCCTTTTAAGACAAAACCAAACCAGAGGAGCAAAAGCCAGAAGGGCCTTGACTCATAGTTAACACCCTTCTGGCTCTCCATAGATGTTTTCACAGATCACCATTTCTTTACCTGCCACAATCTGGGGCAGGTGTATGGAAGAGAACACACCTAAAGCTCACAAGCTCATGGTCACATCCAGCTTTTCTACACATCAATCCCTCTAAAAATGATCCGCTTTCCTCAAACATTCAAGGTTTTAGATCAAATGGGATATTGCCAAACCTTCCCTGTGGTCTTATGTTCTAAAGGGACTATTTTCAGATCCAAATCAAAGTGGTGTTTACACTAAAAATTTAATGTTTCAAAGTTTTCAAGTGAAAACAAAAGTGACTGTATGATTGTAATATATAAGAAATACTCAAAGCAAAACAATTATTGTGTGATATTACAAGTTTGCGAGTTTCCCCAAATCAATCCCCAAAAAGATGATCCACTGCTCTTCACCTCACATCCAAGTTTTCAGATCAACTAGGATATTGCCAAAACGTCCCTTGTTATTTTGAGGGACCTACTTTAAAATCTAGATTAATGAGGGGTTCTCACTCACTTTTATCCGATATTTTCAAGTTTGAAGCAAATTACTGTTTCATGTGATAACAATATAATTTATATGTTTTATAATTTGTCTACTACTTTTTCCCCACCCCTACTGAACTTCAAAGTTTTCCAATAAACTTGGATATTGTCAATACTTTCCTCTGCTTGCTACAAATTGGCAAGTGAAATATGTTACTACATTTATGCCTCCATTAAAGATAAAAATCAACTAATTAAAAGTGCAACATGGTAATTACAAAGATTAAGCTATCAGAATGAGTCTCTCATTCAAGAATCAAATCTGATCATTTTTATGATAGGACACCCACTTTAAAGTTTTCAATATATCATCAAACATTTTTTTTGTAAAACTATCAATGTTTTTAAATTGAGCATAAATAAATTTCTGAAGGAATGATCATTTAATGTTTTACCAGAGAGATATGCTTGTCTCTCTCTCTCTCGCTCTCTTTCTGTTTTCTGCTGCTTTTGGCAAATGCTTATAGAAAATAGAAAACAACACAATTATTACTTTTGAAAAAACTATTCTACAAAATTCATGTTTTCTATTGATATTTTAATACCTTTTACATTATTATTTGTTACCAATTGGCATTACAGCCTTGGTGCTACATCTCCCAACTCTATAACAAAAATCAAAGAGAACATCTTATATAAGAATCAAAATCTTCATTTCAATGATATAGAGAGAGCCCAATACACCAGATGATTTAAGACCACTTTTTTTATTTTTTTTATCTTTGTGTATTTTCCTCAGATTGAAATTCAATCCATGCCTTGCATGATACATTAATCATATATCATATAACTTTTAATATCTTTCTAGTAACATGAGCTATACACAACATGAGTATTTTATGGGATAATTGATCTGTCATTTCAACTGCAAGGGGTCAAAGGTCATAGGGACTTTCATAAACATAATGCAGTTGGGAAGTTTGTTGACATTCTCCTATTGCCCATAAGAAAAACAAGTATGAACTCAGACTTAGATGTCATCAAGGGTAGATTTATGAATTATGGCTATCATGATTGAAAAAAATCTAAATGTTGTTTTCAAACTGTGTATATATTGTTTGCATGTAATACAGGTTCACTATACAGGTTGTCTTTTTAAATTGAAATATACATGTCTACAAATGTACCCTTTTCATCTCATCAAGTAATAAACATACTATAATTGAATTCAGTTCATGTCTTCATGCATCGCAATGACAGGCCTAAATTCATGGATATGTTTTGCAATGATGTGTGACTTCTTTTTTACTTGCAATCATAATTATAGTATTTTTTAAATGTTGAGCAACACTGAAAGACCAACAATATATTCTTTAGAATAATACAATTAATTTTCTATATTTATTTGCAATAGTTATAGATTATACATGCACAGTTAACTTGCAAGTGGATTAAGAATGTAGTCATGATAATCACTTTTACAGTTTGTTGTATTTCAACGTACACCAGCTCTTCAAGTAAATACAACTTTTCATGCTTTCACAGCAGACACAGTTTACCCTTTAATTACTACCATACTCCTGGACAGCTATATACCATGCCTCAAAATGTCTCACCCCTTTAAAATTCTACTCTAAATCTCTTTCACTCTCCCCCTTCTTCATCCCCATCTCCACTTTCCATATTCATCAACAATTTTTAAACAATCTATAATATCCCCCCTCTTGCTCCCTTCTCTCCCTCTCTCTCTCTCTCTCTCTCTCTCTCTCTCTCTCTCTCTCTCTCTCTCTCTCTCTCTTGTCCCCTTCCCCATTCTACATATCTTTCCATCTCAACGTTCTCAAAAACCATCAGCATCAGTCACTCATGTTCCACATCGTGAGTCATTCCTAGGAGTTTATCCCTAGGGGACAAACCATTTTTTTCCTTCCACTCTATATCTCCACTGGCCCTCTCTCTCTCTCCCCCCCCCCCCCCCCCTCCCCCTCCCCCTCCCTCTCCATATCCACCTCAACTTTCTGAAAATCATCAGCATCAGTCACTCATGAATGTTTCCATTTTGAGGCATTAGTAGGAGTGTATCCCTAGGGAACCAACCAATCACACTCATATATTTCCATGTTATCTATCAAAACAACAACACTTCAATAGCACATGACACTCTGCGATATCTCCCTCTTCCAGTTCCATCCATGGCAATTGGTCTCTCTCTTGGGGTTTTGCTGATGTGTAACATGGCCAAAGATATTCAGGTCATAACTTACGGAATGAGTCTTTCAAGTGAAGGTGTGGTAGTTCTAATAATTATTGCAACTTATAACTGTTAGTAAGTTCCTGGCCAAGTCCTTTTGGCTCTGTCTTAAGGGATATTAGTAGGAAAGAGCAAAATAACTGGAAAATGGCCTGTCAAATGGGACTCAGATCCCATACCACAAGAGTCTATTTATTTCACTCAAAAGAGATGAAACGCTTAAGTTATGTCCATGACTACTAATGTTATGACCACTAAACAATTTTGCATCAACTGTTGTACAGAATATTGGCTGAATTTTTGTACTTAATTTCAAATCACTCTTTTAAGCCTCATTCTTTCTATGCAATCATACAATCAATTTCCCACTACAGATACATGCTTGAATTACAGTAATCCATTGATACTAGCACACTAATCAATTTCAGATATGCCTAAGTTAGCCTGTTTGCAACAGCTAGCAGAAGTTTTTCTTCACCTATCACACTGGAGGACAGTGCAGGGTTATGAGAACGAGACAAGAAACTACTTTCTCCTCAAAGGAAGAATACGTTTCTCAGAGCCATTACTCGTCAGTCGTTTATTCATCAAAACAAACGTTTCTAAACCTTGCGTGACAAGAACTGCTCACTGGTTTGACCTACCCTCCTCACCTTGGGACGATCTTCACCAAGCCTCACTGACTGATAGCAACTAATTGATGCCTTCAAGAAAACACTTGGGACACCTTTGACCAAAGGAAGCGGTCTGATGAATTGCTGCCTCATATTATAAATCGCTTCTTTTTTATTATCCTTCGGAGGGTAGGGTAGGATGTCTTCATTAAAGCGGGGCATTTTCTTTTTAAGGCTCTATCTGGATTTCGTCAAAAACTTCAAAATATTTTGGGTCTCTTGATGGAACATTAATTGATAGACAAAACCTTGAAGGGCGTCTAAAAACAGTGTTTTACAATGAGATCTACCACTTTAACTCCTCCATTGTCTGATGGGCGCTAGAAGGGCATTAACTCATATCCTTTAACAAAGCGTTAATACCCGTCTAGTTCTCAATAGACATCAGGGACCACCCATTAGAGGGTTGATGCCTTTCTAAATGACAAGGAAGGGGGATTTCTAAATGATAAAGCACAGCTGGCAACTTTATCTGGAATATTTAAGTATTCTAATGACTGAAAGAAAATTGTTGAGGGAATCAGTATTACTCGATAGATCTTTAATGAGCTGAGTCTAAAAATTTGTGCAAAACATTGTCAAAACTTGGCAAAAAAGCATTTACCTTTCAAAATATGCACTATTTCAATGTCTTCAATATTCTTTTCAAAGCCAAATATGAAATACTGAGAATCGGTACTGCTATACTTGGCATAGATCTCTGTTAGTGTTCCAGTGGCAGTATTTGTACAATGAGCAACGGGGGCTTGAACCCTGAACTTACCTATGTAGTTTGTTCCCTACAAACATGTCTTGATACTGAGGGGCACCATCCTCTGGTCCATGTGGGGATGGGAATGACAGCACCATGGCAACAGGTAACCGTGGATACGCCCTCTTGGAAAGCTTGAAGAATGCCATGCTGTCATTGGCGATGAGATCTGGTAGGTAGTCCCTGTACAACAAAAAATACACACACAGCTATTAACATCACTTGAAAACATAATGAAAGGGATTACATTACACATTGACTGCTCAATTTTGAATTAATACATGAACAATTCAGTTCCCATAGGCTATGGATTAAGAATTTGAACAGTTCAACTAGACAACATAAAGCTAACTCAATAAAATAAATTGATGATATAGAGTTATAGGCAACAAGAAAAAAAATAGGGGGAAGTGAATTCTGGAAATATGATGGACTACTGAAGGATAAAATTCTGTCCTTTTTGTGTGGAAGGAACTCTACATGCATGCAGCAAATCAATCAAAATTGATTGTGTGATCCCGCACAGTCAAAATTCTTGATTCCTGGTTGCTACAAACTTATGTTTCATTAGCCATCACCACAAAATAAAACTCAATAAAGTGAAACAATGTGTTTCTTTTCCTATGAAAGTTGGATCCATGTCCCACCAGCTGACTATTCGTACAGAGGGTCTACAGTTACAGAACTTAGAGTTCTGAATTCTCTAGTTATAACAAGCTTTTTAAAATTTTGTATTAACAATGCCTTGATAAAATGCTACATCATACAATCTACCTCCTTACCTATGATAATTGAATCCATGTCTCATGAGCTGACCATTCCTACATAGGGTGTAGTTATAGAACTTAGAATTCTTGACCAGTCCGACCCACTCCACCCAGCCTGGTGGTATGTAGTCTCCTCTGTATTCATTCAGGTATTTGCCAAAGTAACCTGCAAATAAATTACACAAAATGATAAAAAATGTTTTGAGAATGAGTAGATCTTGTGTAAAATTACGTATCTGTATAAAAAAAAATATGTACAAATATCATGGCAGAAAGTATAAACAAATGAGAGTGATGTAAATACTGAAGAACTTTGCAGTACCTCCTTCAGATCAGCTCCATGATCTGAATTTGAAAACCGGTTAAAAAAATACATTAAAAAACTGGAGAAAATTAACCATTGTTTAAGCAAAGGAAATCATATGAAATCATTGATAGTTGTATTTAACAAAGATAAGAAAATTCCAGTAAATTTGGTTGTATTCATAAAAGTGACTATAAGTTCTTGGAAAACAAATAGAAGTCGTTCATTTTTTAAATTAAAAATGCATATTCCAAAGGTATACTGTCAGTGACAACACCTTTCAGTAATGAAATACTTTATGCATATTCCATCAACAGGTAGCTGTCGGGTTTACCTTTTTTCTTCTTCTATATCTGTATCACCATTTTGATGATAAACTGTCAGAATTTCAAATTCATCACTAATTGAGATATCGTTTTGATTTAGAGACCAACTACACAACTACTCAGTCTCTCCCAATACTGACATGGGCAAACATAACCAATGCAAACAGTGAATGCAAACGTTGACCCTTTCTACTCTACAAATCTAATCCTCATTCAGACAAGCAAAATTAATTGTATAGCTATGGATATACTACCCCTTTCTCGTCATCTCTTCCATCCCCCCCTCCCCTCCCCTCCCCTCCCCTCCCCTCCCCTCCCCTCCCCTCCCCTCCCCTCCCCTCCCCTCCCCTCCCCTCCCCTCCCCTCCCCTCCCCTCCCCTCCCCTCCCCTCCCCTCCCCTCCCCTCCCCTCCCCTCCCCTCCCCTCCCCTCCCCTCCCCTCCCCTCCCCTCCCCTCCCCTCCCCCTCCCCTCCCCTCCCCTCCCCTCCCCTCCCCTCCCCTCCCCTCCCCTCCCCTCCCCTCCCCTCCCCTCCCCTCCCCTCCCCTCCCCTCCCCTCCCCTCCCCTCCCCTCCCCTCCCCTCCCCTCCCCTCCCCTCCCCTCCCCTCCCCTCCCCTCCCCTCCCTCCCCTCCCCTCCCCTCCCCTCCCCTCCCCTCCCCTCCCCTCCCCTCCTCTCCCTCAAATCGGGAAGAAGAAAAAAAATCGGGAAAAAATCGGGAAAAATTTAAAAAAATCGGGAAACCGATTTAAATCGGGTTTTTATCAGGCCTGGTTTACCCAGGGAAGCCTCATCAGCTTCATGCTGTTCTTTCTGAGGGCCCTGCATTTATTATCACCCCCAGCATTTGCCTGGAACTCTTTTACACCTAAGTACAGTTTGGCAACTGTGTCTTGCCAAAGACGTTAGTGCCGGGCTGGGATTTGAACCCTCAACCCTTAGATTGAGAGTCAAGTGCATGAACCACTTCACCACCACAATGATTCTTTATACAACTCCCCTCCATATTAACTTTGTATAAATTATCTCCAGTGTGAACAGATCATATAAATCTTCTCCCATCTCATCATATTCCTTTCATTGATCGTCTCACTGACTCGGCCAACAATCCCTCGATTCACAAAATCATAGTGAGACCCGGTCTTCAATTAGATGGGAATCGATAATGTGCCGCGACCAACACTCTGGGTTAATATGACTTGCAAACTATCTCTCCTGGCTTGTCATATGGGATAGGTTAAAGGGAAAGTTCAAGTACTTGTCTGCATCTGAAATCATCTCAATTACTCATTAAGTATAGTGATGACTGTCTTCAAAGGAAGATTTATTTTCCAGTTATGATATTCATGTATACTAGTGTCTCGGCATCTCTTTTGACCTTAATCTTCCCTCTGCCCTCTTTTTCCTTCCCTCAATCATCATTTCCCTTCCTTTATCTAATTTTCTCTATCCTTCCAACTTATTCCTCTGTATTGTATTATGATGCATGATAATGATATAGTTTCATTGGAAAGAAATAGATTTAAACATAATGATACTAATGTTTTTAAACATGTCTAGCACGAGAAGCAACATTTCAAATGGGTCAAAATAGATCAGAGCTGCCATTCCTTTAGAGATATTCAAGCCTGCAAAAGGATTCATTTTCTCAGGCGAGTTCAATACTTTCACTACTCTTTTGCCTCCTGAAAATACAATCATAACTAAATGGTGAGTATTGGTTACATCCCTTGTTGCTCTTTCCCATTAATCACCAAACCATTAATTCAACCAAGTCACTGTCAAGAAGCTTTGATCAAAAGACTTGTCTTCATCAGCTCGAGATTGCCAAATAACCCGCTATTTTAACTATCCTGATCGCAAATTATCCAGCTAATTTGCGTCTTCATCAGCCTGCAGTTGCAATTAGCAGGATATTTGGTCGAGAAAATATCCCAAGCAATATTGGTGTTGTTTCCAAAATATCCCGCTATTTGGGAAATAGTGGGCTAATGTGCGCTTGTCCAAGTTTGTGATGAGCATATCGGTCTGCATGGTGAAGACGCAATTTAGAGCTGACAGGAATACTCCACAAGCAATGGAGATGATGCACACAATGAGTGCATGTACGAATCTGGGTAAAAGTTATGCAAATAGTTTGATTCAGTTAAAAGTGCTTTTATATAATTCCAGAAACTCATACATTGTCATTGCTTTGAGATTTCTAAAAATACTTTTAGTTAAATATCTTTAAAATGAAACACAAACTAAATTGAATGCCTCCCAACTCTTTATATGCATCTACACAATCTACAAATTTATCTACATGCGAAGAGCTCATTTAGGTGAAAACGATTCTTTCAATGATATTTGTAGATACGCCACACAGGTTTGTATATGGATGGATGGTGAGGAAGATGGGTTATCATCACATTGTCAGCCTGTAGGTATATAGGAAATCTGCCAAGTAGGATTGGTCAACAAGCTTCTTTCATCACAAGCACTCTTAAATCAGATAAATATCATAGGAAAATGTCTACATTTTTTGTTTTAACCTTCTCCTGTCCCTCCTAGATGTATACATTTCTTCTCTTATTCTCTCTCTCTCTATCTCTCTTTCCATCTCTCCTTTCTGACCCACCGTATAGGTCGTCTTTTTCCCTCTCCCTCGCTCTCTCTCTCTCCTTTGTCACCTATCTTAAAGGTAAAGACCAGTTATGGTCATGCGATTGCATTGTGAAAGAAACGTTGTGGAATCGATCAGAAAAGGTTGATCATCTAGCATCTAGCATCTGCAAGGTTCTGGAATCATCAAAATGATAAGAAATTTGGCCCATTCTTCGTAAAGTTACAAGCACTATACACAGAAAGATGTATATGGGACTACCCTATATCTCTCACAGACCATGAGAGAAACAAATTTACTAAATATATGAATTAGTAGGCGGTTTCCAAGGAAATTTTTTTTCATCATGTATTAGTCAAAACATATTCTTTCACATGATTGGTAATAAGAGCTTCCATTTCATTTTTGAAATTGGGGCGTTTCCAATACTGGTCTTTACCTTTAAAGATCCTCTCTCTCCCTCCCTTTCTATTTTCTCCTCTCCTCTTTCTCTTCTCTATTCTGTCTGGTTTCTATCCGAGTCTCTCTTTCTGTCTCCCTTCTTTTGATGAATGTAAATTTTGAATTAAGTCGGACATCTACGTACATGTATGTTTGCTGAAAGCTGGAAGATTATCAGCTCATCATATTTGACGCAAATTGAATGCTCCTGTGCTTCTCATTAGATATTAGATGATGTTAATTCTCTCATTTTCTTTACATTTCTTGCTCTTATATCCTCCCCTTTCACTTTTTGTCTCCCTCCTACCCTCCTTTTCGTTTCTGATCTACTTCAATCATAATCTCTTTCCATTTTTATTTTCTCATATAGATTTGTCCTCATGAATATTCATCTATTTTCCCCCTTCCTGGCTTGATAAAGCAATCAACTTCTCAAGAAACCTCACTGCCCATGCACCATCGACTGGGACAGGAATTTCACCCCGAAGAGATGAATCTTGCGTGATCATGGCCTGTCAAAATTAGGTCATCGAGTGGTATGCTTTCGATATGCGCTTCGAGGCACTGTACTCTGATTAGAAGGGTCATTATAATGAAGGAAACAAGTTATTTCTCGATGTTTCTTGTCAGCTAGAAGAAATAAAAGTATCTGTACTACCTAAATAATGTAATATATTCCACAATTTTTACTTTTGTCCTTTGATTTCTTCTTCACCATTAAAGGTACTATATCCCTTTTGCAGCCAACCTCAAATTCTGTAGAACTTTGCAGGAATTATGAATATGTCATGTTTGTCCTATCTGCAGAATTTAAACGTTAGCGGTGTCCTCATATTCAAATTATGCAAGGAAACCTGTTTACTTGCTAGACTTCACAGTCAGACACTATTGAGTGACTGACTGGCTTTTTTCTTCTTTGGTAATAACATACATGAAAAGAGTTGTAAAGGGTACATGAGCATTTGTCTACATCAATAACCCACTTCTTGTGATGGCCAAGATTAAACTGATTGAATCTTTGCGCATCATAAAACGTATGACCATTCGGTACAATTGTCTGAAAATCAAGACTATTACTTTTGGGCTCTATAGCCCTAAAGTCGATTTGACAACTAATAGTCGTTATTTTCCCACTTGAAGGAATTTTCAAGCCCCACATTTTTTAGGGAAGTTCTAAATTAGTATTATCTTTCAAATGCAGTTGGAATTTAACTTTTTCATTTTTTGGCCTGCAAATGGGACATGTACCTTTAAAATAAAACTTATATGCCATTTATCTCCTTCTCACCCACCTCTCTCTATGCCCATACATGAATCTGTATGATCAACTTCTTTTCTCTTTTAATTCAGTCTTTAGAAAACAAACAGGAATAAAATGAGAAAGCATTTTGCATTTTGATTACCTGTGCATTGTTTGCCTCTCAAGAAAGGTTAAAGGTATAGTTGAGTATTGGTAATTTCCAAAGTGCCCCTCCAAAACAAATTTGGT